CCCCCCATATATGGGCACCTCCCATATATGGGCTGGATCAAGCGTCGCCTGAATTTTGAGCGTCGCCTGAATTTTTGGGCTTATTTTTTTATTATATAAAGAGATATCGATCCATTATGATCCAAAAAGTTCGAAATGTGTGTGTAAAATGTAGCGAAGCTACTTATATATTTATTTCAGATTCTTTCAATGTATTGTGTTCGGGCTCGGCTGAGCAACCGAATACCTTACCAGAACACCTCGCGACGATTCGTAATAATTCGGACACCCTTGATCGGATGATTAATACCGTTGTCGCGAGAGAACACTCTCGTTCCAGCTCTGGTGGTGTAAACCAAAGTTACATTTGCTATGAATAAATCTAATTCGATATACATTAATTCCGAGCGTTATACGTAACAAAACCCATCTATCCTTTACTGAATTCCCACATAAAATTTAATTCATCGATAATTTTTTTTTAATTTTTGCATTTTTTCGACAATCGGTTGTCCCACGATAACTAAAAAAAATATTCTGAATTCATTGAATGATGGCTTAAAAAATTTGTTTGGGTGTCCGTTTGACCGAGTTCAAAGATGAAGGCGATAGCAATAATAATCGTTATTTTGATGTATTCGAAAATTTTCAAAAATTTTGTATTTATTGAAATCTAGAATCCCGGGGATGTCTTCTTCTTCTTTTTTTTTTTTTTTTTGGCACTGACTATAAGTCTTGCCACCGTTATTCCATTGAAGGAACGTCACATGTGCGTAGGAGGGAGATGGTAGGGTAGGGATTGTAATATCCGAATCTATTTTTAAAAAATTTAATTTCTGTAGAAATTAAATGTAAAAGAAAAAAGGAAAGAAAAACAAGACTTCAATACTGCAATACCGAAGGAAATTGTCCACCCAGTAAATTCTCTTGATATTGCAGCAAATTCGATTTCCACATAGGACCAAAAATTCACGCAAAATACGCTTACAAATCAAGAAATCCCGTGCAACGATCAACCATGTCAATGACCCGCGCAAAAGTCAAACACCTCGTTGCCCAACTCTTCCACGTAGGAGCCAAACTCGTGGAAGAAATTTTCGTTTAACCATTGAAAATTTCCAACGACAGTTAGTCGTCTCGCAACCATCGGAAAGGGCAGAATTCTTCCCGCGGATAAGAAAATCCTAATTCTCCTGCGGACTTGTCCATCAGTGAACCAAAATTTGGCATTGACACGGGTGATTGTTTCCGGGAGAACAATTTCCTTCTAATATTGTGGTTGAGGTATCAAGGATTAATTTAAAAATCCCACCCCCAAATTTGACGAACTCTAAAAATCGAACCTTCGACCAAGTCTCAGGACAGTGAAGAAAAATTCAGCTCTAAAGTGTTTTAAATTAGAAACGCAAATCAATTCTCGGGGAAAATTGTGAATACCCTCCAGTTCTCTCTCGGGGTCACCGTAGGAACTCGGATAAAATAATTGTCAATTTACGTTAAGTGAGAATAACATTAAGTGGACAAGTATAACTTGAAGGAGTGTGAAACGGTCATTGTTTTTGGCCTATAATCTGAAACTCACGGAATAACCTTCGAAACTCTAGAAAACGAATAATTTGTAAGTACCATAATTCCCAATAAACGAACCACTTCGAATTCCTTCAAGAGATTATCCAAGAAAACTCTAGAGACAATTTTTAATAATAATTTTTGTTGTTGTTATTATTTAGTTTTGGTTTTATTAAATCGCTGGAAGCGCTGTTGTAATCAGGCATCAAAATTTTATACAAGTAAAAATATTTCTCGGCTTCACTAGATTATTTCTTAAACCTAACCTACCAAATTGATTTAGAATAATCTCTGGGAAAACTCATGTGGTCAAAGAAAAAAACGTAAAGGGGAGAAAGATCAATAAAAAGGTAAGAACAGGAAAGCAAGCGTCGTGCAAATAAGAAATTATCAAACTTTAAAGGAAAACCAGAGAAAAGAATTTCTCTGTAGATAATTTTTAATCGAAATGACGGATATGGAGAGTAATAAATTCTAACGTTGTCCTCCGACGCTGGACACCGTCTCCGGACATTACAGGATTAAACTTGATAAGGCATGTGGAGGGAAATATTTGCATTTAGGATTAGATTGGTTTTTTGATAGATTTTAGAAAGTTGTGTATGATGTAGACAGTTTTGGAGTCTGGGGATGCGATTAATTTGTTGATGTTGAAGGAGGATATTCTTAGTTTTTTGAGAGCTCTGACGAGAACGGTGTACTCGTTTATGTATTTTGGGCAGAACCAAAAGATGTGGGAGAGAGTTTCAGGTTGACTGCATTCACAGAGAACGGAGTTGACTAGATTTTTGCCCAAAAGACTAACGTTGAAGTTGAAGTGGTTCGACCTCATGGGTGGGTGAAAACCATTATAAAAGTGTTTAAGGTAGTGGGCGCCTTTCTGTTGACTTTGAGTTTTGAGAATTTTGGAGCTATTGGCCTTCATGTGTCTCGTAACAAACTCTTTAAAGTTAGTGTGAGGGACGGGAGTGTTTTGAAGGACACCATTGTTTATGGCATCTTTGGCGTGAAAGTCTGCTAGTTCGTTGCCAGGTATTCCCACGCGGGAAGGAACCCAGATAAATGTGATTTGTTTGCCATCGATGGAGAGAGATGAGTATAATTCGAGGATTTGGTAGATGGCATGTGAGGTGGATTTTTGAAGAGTAAAGTGTGTTAGGGTCGTAAGGACATTGACTGAGTCCGTAAGAATGATAGATTTTTCTATGTCCAGAGATTGAATCGCTTGGAGAGAGGAGAGTATTGCTAGCGCTTCTGCCGTGAAAATGGAGAAGCAGGATGATATTTTGTGTTTGATAACTGTATTTTTCGAGGGGATAACAGCTGCGTAGCCTACATACGATCCATCTTGTGTTTTAAAGTCATCAGTGTAAATTTGGGTGTGGAGATTGAGATCTTCCTTAATCAGTTCTTCATCTAAAGAGGTATTTTTATTTTGTGCATTTTTTAGCACAAGTCCTAGGGATGTGCTAATAGGAGGAGGGAAGTTAACTATGGAAAATAGGAATTGGTAGGGGGTGGTGAGAGGATAGGAATGAATCTTGGGTTTGTGCTGGATTAGTTTGGTATAAGAGCGGTAAATGGGGAAGTCTGTTTTGATGTTATGAATGTTAGATTTTTTTCGGATAGGATTGTATGCAAGGGTGATAATTTTTCCAGGAGAGGATGGTCAGACAAAGGAAAACTCTTGATCATGTCTGTCAGAGAGCGGGGAAATGCGTAAATTAAGGAGGGGTTCAGTTGCTTCAGCTAGGGTGACGTTGGTCGGGGTGGAGTTTCTTAGGCCAACAACTAATCTAAGGGCTTTGTATTGGAATTTAGTTAGTTTTTCGAAGTCGGAGTAGTTAGAGTATCGGAGCATTTGACTGCCATATTCTATAGAGTTGCGCATAAGTCCTC